GATTTCCCATTTTGTATATAAAATTGTTTAAGGTAGAAGAATTACTTTCCAAATCCAACAGATCCACTACAAACATCTACATATGTAGCCCATATCAAAATTTAAAAGTATTAATTACAATATCTTGTTTAATAAAAGTAATAGGAATAATTCAAAAGTATTAATCAAAATTCAAAAGTATTAATCCAAAAAACATGTCCTATTACTTTTTATTAAACAAGATATTATAATTAATACTTTTGAATTTTGATATGGGTTACCTATCTATGTAGATGTTTGTAGTGAATCTATTGGAATCATTCTACCTTAAACAATTTTATATACAAAGTGAGAAATCCTTCTACCTTAAACTATTTATAAACAATTTTACAAATATGCAATTTCTTTTAAATTGTTAAGTATTAATATTCTGAATTGAAAATAATAATAACAAATATGAAATGACCATATACAAAGTAAAAATATACAAACAGAAATTCATGATTTCAATGCTAAAAGCATCACCGTCTCCTCCAGCTCCATCCTTAAACAATGTCATTATTTTTTTTCATTTAAATGCATTTATATGTTTTATTAACAATATTAATAATACAAGTTCAAAAAATAGTAATCTTATTTATATAATAATAATAATAATAATAATAATAGTAATAATAATAAGGGTTTTGTTTGCAAAAAAGTCATAATATTTTTGTTTACAGAAAAATCATAATATTTTTGTTTATAGAAAAATCATAATATTTTGGGTTAGTTTACGAAATAGTCCCAAATTAATTTGGTACCGGTTTCAACCGGTCAAAAATGGTCAAACTGTAAATTTTTACGGTTTTCAAGACTCTTTCGTTTAAAAAAAAATCTTGGAACTAAAGTATAACTTTTCCGTAAATATTGAGACTTTTCTAACAATTTTTCTAACTAAAAATTGATTTTAAAAAAACTTTTAAATTTACTAAAGAACTTTTAATAATTTTTAATTTTTGAAAAAATTAAAAGTCAAAAAATGGTTAAAAAGGAATCCCAAACACCCTGTTGTTTTACGACTCAGACAGAGAATGAGGCTGTGAGAGGAAAAGTGGTTTCTAAGGGTGGTTGCCGCCTCGCCACGCCGATGATTTCCATTGTCTTCTTTGAAACTCCAACAACCCTCCTCTGCTACTGCTGCTGATATATATAGATAGATAGAGAAATTAAATATCCTCCTACCTTCAATGTATACATGGATGTATCTGTATTTGTATCTGTATCTGTATCTATATGCATATACAGAGTGAGAGAGACAGAGATTTATGGAGTTAGCATACTTCCATCCGTCTTTCAAAATACGTTGCTACTTCTGCAGTTCAAAAAAAAAAAAAAAAAGGAAAATCGAGAAACTTTGCCCCAAAATACGAGGCTATGATGCTTAAACATGATCTGAGTCAAAATCGGGACATGGTTTGAGATTATCCGCAGCTTGGCAGGGCATAATCGGAGGACAGCAATTGTTAGAATGCAACCTCTGTCGTTGCAGCCATGGCGGTTTAATCCTCTTGTTCGGATTGTAAAACAGATCTGAGCCTCATTTTTTATCTAAATAGACACACACTTCAAAATTTGTGAAAAGGGTTAAGTTTTATTGTTGATTCATTGCATATAATTTTATTAATTTGGATTTTTTTCTGCGTTTTTAACGAATGTGTTCTTCCCGAAATACGCTTTGCATTTTTATTGTTTGAGTCTCCATTTCATTGCGAATAAATTTTACGATCGTTTTTTCCTCGACTTCTATTGTTTTTGTCTCAAGATTGTATTATGAACTTTTTTAATCATGCTATTTGATTCCATTACTAGTAACAGATCGAATTTTGTTTCATTTCTGATCAATAGATGATTTCATTTGCCTTTATTATTTCGGAATTTTGTCAAAGAAATTGAAATCGAACAATATTCAATTAAAGAAATTGGAACTTAACTCCAAGCATTCAATTTTGTATCTCCGTTTTTTTGGTATGTAATTTTGTCGATGGGGTTTTGATTAAGTTGTATCCATGAAATAAAAATTGAATACATAAATATAAATAAAAGGGTTCGTGGAACAGTCTTAACAATATGATTGATATTCGGAAGCAACAAATATACAACTAAGTTGTTTATAATCCATGAGAAAGTAACAAGATGGCAGTTTGATCAAGTTAAACTTATCTCTAAACTGGGTGTAGTTGTTTGATATCCCAATAGCAGTGATATGATATGTGCGTTTATGGTTCTTTTGTTTGATTCATATTCTGGACTTCTGGAGGACAATAACAATCGATAAAGACTAGATATAGCTTGAACCATTCCAATTTAAAGTTGATAGTGTTGTTGAAAATAGGTTGAGGTTTCTTAAGCAAATGTGTGGATATAATCTTATCATTGAGTTGCAAACTTGTCTAATAGGGTGTTTTGGCAAAACCTCTGTTTAAAAAGACTTATGACTTTTTGTCTTATAACTTATTTGGTGAAATAATGAGTTTTTAATAAGTAAGGGGTTATCATTTTTTGACTTATTAGAGGTTACCAATAGCTATAAGTTGTTTTTTATCCATACATTTTTTTTGACTTATACCGGTATCAAACCGATAATAAGTCAAAAAACTCATTTTTTAAGTTTTGCCAAACACCCCCTAAAATATCAACTTAGCGGTTTTCCCAAATGTTGAAACTTAACCAACATATCATGGCTTAATTAACATTATGAGCAATAATATGAAATAAAGTTGTCAACATTATGAGCAATAATATGACAACTTGTTCATTGATATCCATACTTTTACTTGCCATTAATCCTTCTAATGTTTCAGGCAAGAAACGTAGTGCTAAGCATCCACTTAAGTCTCCCATTACAGAAAGGGTTAATATGGGGAATTCAACAAAAGAACGAGCATCTTTAGGTCCCGTTTGATAGTTGCTGACTGAGAAAGTGCTGACTGGGAAAGGTCTGTCCGGGTAAGAAATACTGACCGAGTAAGAAACCATATTGTTTGATTGTACGTCTGACTGAATGTGCTGACCGATAAAAAATGATCATTTTACCCTGCTACTTGATTGTACATCTAATCAAACACTTGATTTCAAACCAAACATATACGGAATAATGCAATAGCAGCAACAAAGGTCCAACATACATAATATATAGCTTCACCAACACACATAATATACATAATTATCTATATTTTG